TGTGTGTGTGTGTGTGTGTGTGTGTGTGTGTGTGTGTGTGTGTGTGTAGGTGAGGTGTGAGTGGTCCAGGGCACACATATGGGTCAGAAGTTAACTTGCAGGAGTCACTTCTCTCTTTCTACCATATAGACCCTGGGAATCAGATTCAAATCATCAGGCTTGGTGGCAAGTGCCTTTACTCATAGAATCATCTCACCAACTGCAGCAATCCCAGGAAAACAAAGGTATAAGTGTAAGCAAACAGCTTCTCATGGCCCTTTCTGTCCAGCTGGTCTTCACAAAAGGCCTACAGGACAACACTGCTAAGGCCTGGCTGACTCTGAACTCAAACTCTCAATGCCCAGTGCTGGCAATTTAAGAGACAGTGGTGTCTGAAGCCAGCCACACACCAGGAGTCATGACTTGTCATCAGCCAGACCTGAAAACTCACCTTGGGCATCAAATTTCATCCAGGCAATGTCATCACCTACACACTCAACTTTCCATCCAGGAAGGGTGGGGTTCATCATGGCTAAGTTGGTCTTCCCGCAGGCACTAGGGAAGGCTGCTGCCAGGTACTTCTTCTTGCCTTCAGGGTTGGTTATTCCCAGGATCTGCAGGGACACAGATCAACACTATAACCTCTGATCCTTGACAGATAAAAAACCTCCAGTACTCTGTATCATTGATTAAAAAGAGAGAGAGAGAAAGAGAGAGAGAGAGATGAAAGGTACGTGTTTTCAACAAAAACATAGGCCCTGTCTTTGGAAGAGGGTTGAGCCCCTTTCAGAGAGACGAACACTAAGATGCTTAGAGTCCATTTGCTCTTCTCCCACCCTGCCCTCAAGTGTTCAGAGGTTGAAGAATCTTGACATGGATCGCCTTTGCCACCCTAGGCCCCCCAACTTCTGCCCGGGGTTCCCTGACCTCGTACCAGCATGTGCTCGGCCAGCCACCCTTCCTCCTTAGCCAGCCGGCTGGCGATCCGCAGGGCAAAGCACTTCTTCCCAAGCAGTGAGTTCCCACCGTATCCGCTTCCAAAGGAGATGATCTCTCTGCGGTCCGGGAGGTGGGCAATCAGGGTCAGCTCCGGGTTGCAGGCCCAGTTGTTGACCAAAGGCTCTGAAAATGAGCACCGATATGAGCGTGTGGTGCACATTCCTGCCCAATTCTCCAGGCGGGCCTTGTACCAGCTGTGAAGCTGAGAATGACCTGGAACTTCCGACCCTCCTGTCCCAACACCTTCAGTTTATTTGGTGTCTGGGCTCAGACTCAGAGCCTCACCCACACTAGTAGGCAAGCTCTCTACCCGATGAACCGCAGCCCCAGCTCCTCCCCTCCCTTTTGGTTTGGAAAGGATGTACTTACTCTTTAAGGGAAGAGGGCATCCCACGGAGTGGAGGCACTTGATAAACTCCCCGCTGCCCAGGGCCTCCAGCACGGATATCCCCATCCGGGTCATGATCCGCATGCTGGCCACCACATAGGGTGAGTCTGTCAGCTCTATACCAATCTTGGCCAGGGGCGAGCCCAGAGGCCCCATGCTGAACGGGATGACATACATAGTGCGACCTACAGAGACAGATGGTGGGGGGGGGGGAGCCGGTAAGAAGCTATGGAGGCCCACGAAGCTTCCCCGAATCATGCTTCTAGCAGTAGCCATGGCCATGTCTCCCACACCGTGTCCTCTTGGCCACCACCTCTGGTTTAAGTGGACACTGGGAACTACAAAATGCTGAAATTAAAGCTTTCATAACCCTCCTGTTTGGCCGTGCTAAGCTGCTTTACACCCACGTGAGCGGGAAGCTTGTTATTTACTTATTGTCTATTTTATCTATTTGATATTAAGTATCAAACCCAGGGCCTTGCATATTCTAGGCAATCACTCTATGACTGAGGCACTCCCACAACCCCCTCTTCAGTTTTTATTTTGAGACAACGTGTAAGTTGCTCAGGCTGGCCTTAAGCTTTGAATGCTCCTGCCTCAGCTTCTCAGTGTCTGGGATGACAGGCCTGAGCCACCAGGACTATCAGAGGACATTTTAACATTCCTGTGTCGCCATCCATCAAGCAGAACTGGGCGGTGCATTTTCACGTATGGACTACTCTTTGCAGCTCAGGCCACCATTAAGAGCATCAACTATGCACACTGTCAGGCCGGGGTTTAGTCTCGCTCACCTTTCATGCACCCTGGGAACCTGGCGTTGAATGCTTTCTCAAAGTCCTCTTCAGACATCCAGCGGCCCAGCTGGCTAAGGCCAGTTTTGGGGATGGGCACTGTGTCCCTCTGCTCTTGGGTGATGATGACCGTCTTGCTTTCGATTCTGGCCACATCCCTGGGGTCAGTGAGAGCCAGCCAACTGAAAAAGTCACAGGGATCCCTTCAGCAAATCACCGTCATGGATGCACCCCTCCTTCCCATGTCAGGCTCTCCCCAGTCTTTCGGGACACAAGGACACTAGCCATGTCCCTTAAGTATGGAGGCTGAACCAACAGGGCCTTGACCAGGAGGACAGATGCTAGGCCATGAATTGGCCCTGGGGAAAGGCCTTTCCCAGTTATCTGGAATCTAGCGACTGGCTATGCTAACCTCACAGGGTGTCCGTATTCTGATCATTCTATTAAGTTTCTCTACCTCAAGGTCTTCTTTCCCTCTTCTTCCAACCCCAAGATGTGGAACTGAGGAGCCTGTGGGCCAGAGAGGGTGGGCTGAGGGGACTCACCAGTTGTCATATTTCTTCAGCTTGCGGATGATACCCTCCTCCTGCATGTGGGCCAGCAGCTGCCCGTACTCCTCCTCGGAGCCATCACAGATATGGATATGCTCCGGCTGGCACAGCTGGGCATTGCCTTCCACGAACTCCCTCACTGCCTGGGGCAGGCTGTCAAGGCTGCCCTGGATGACCTTGGCAGAGAAATCCAGACCATTATGCAGCTGAGGAGGCATGTTCGAAACTGTGTGGAGAGAGGCAGGGATGCTGGTGTCACCTGAAACAGAAAAGGGGGCTCCTGAGCACCAGCACCCTTGGGCTCCTTCCAGCTCCATCTGTAGACTTTGCATGGGTTGCATGGGACCAGGGAGCTGTGGTTGTAAAGAAAGCAAACTGTCCCATCACCCGTGTTTTCAGAGAGGTGAATGAAATGACTCTACCCACCTTTCTTCCTTTTGAAAGGGCCGGATCAGAGCTGGGAGAGCGCCTTGCCGGATCTTCCCTGTTGACCGAAGGCGTGTTCCCAAAGGGAAGGCCAACTGTGCTTGGTAGCCAGCCCTCCTTGCTTTAAATACTATACAGAGGGAGGTCAGCCCTGCCCCTCAGCTGTACCCGGAGGCTCGCCTCTGACGTAAGGGGCAGGGCTTTGGATCGTAGCCACGGTCAGCAATGTTTGGAACTGACTTAACACAATAAACTTCAGGGAGATAATGATTGAACTTGTAGTTGTTAATGAATGTTGGGAGGCCTCGGGCCCCTCCGTCGGCCATAGTGAATCCTTACACAACATTTGATTGACTAAACTTTGACCCCGCCTATTGCTGATGCAAACTGCAGACTCTTTCCTTGGTTGTCAGGTAGGGGTCAAGGACAGGGCTAGCCGAGACACCTCTTGGACTTCATATGTTGTTGGCAGCACATTTTGTGTGCCAGTGGCTGCTGGTTGTCAAAACACTGCAACTGTGAGGTGTCACTCCCATGGTCAAAGGTCATGAGAAGAAAACTCCAGCTCTGAGACATGCCCCTTCTAGATAAATTCTGCAACAGCTGATTTAGCTGGGGTGTGTTACCCCATTATGTGGACTTGCTGGCCACTTCGAGATAAACACTCCAGAGGGTAGGGGTGGCTCTAAGCTTTGTTCTAAGGGGACAATGCCTAGCCCACAACAGTCACTAATACATACTTACTGGCCCCTGCTCAGTAAGTGTTTTATATCAGCTCATTCATTGCTGCTGCCTGAAATGAAACGATGACAATCCTGGGTACAGACTAGGGAACTGAGGCAGAGAGATCGATTAACAGGTCCCAGCAGCTAGTGAGAGGAGCCAGAAGAAGGGAATAATGTCAGGATGGGCTACAGAGTACCGTGGGATCCCTTGTAAGTTACTATTGTCTTTTCTAGAACCCTCAGTGTGTTCTCCAAGAAGTTCTGGGTTAGACAGACTGACCCTTGGAGCTGCCTAGATGCTTCTTGCAAATCTGAGAGTCTGGGGAGAGAAGGGGAGGGGTCTTGGCAGTTCTGCTGGGTCACACTTGAACAACCAGACCTTTACCACAGTCTTAAAGAATCTTTCCAATTAAACCAGATGCGATCTTGCTCTCCAGAGTTGAGAGAGAAATGAGTGAGAAGTCAAGGAAAAAGGGCCAATGGCCAGGCCTGGCTCCCTACAGCTGGCCTCAGAGGAGGTGACAGGGACTTGGCCCACTTCCCTGTGGGCAGGGGGATGATCTGACAGACAACTTTGTGACTCTGCTTACTAAGACCAGTGTCAGATTTGAGGCTCCGTGAAGGGCCATCCCAGGCGGCATGCTTTTGGCCTGAACTCTGGGGCTTGGCTCACTCTGCAAAGCTATGTGATTACCTATCGCCTCCTGCACCCAAACAGCCTGCGCTCTCGGGGGTCATCCACTGGAACAAACTGCCATCGCTCTGGGGGTCATCCACTGGACTTTCAGTGTCAGTGCAGAAGAAGATGGTTCCTCCTCAGGTCACTGAGGCTGCTCACGAGGGGGGGGGGCGCTTACCTGACGTAAACTGTGCTGGGTCTCAACCCAGCCAGAATGTCTTGCTCAGTGCCTGATGGCTCCTTGCTCTGCATCAATCATGAGCTAAACCAGCCTTTCCAGTGGACACTTCCTCTGAGATTCACAGCCAAATCCAACTCTGCCGCTAAAACTGATATGGGTTGGAGTCCATGGAAGGTTAAATTGAAGACAAAAATAAGAGACCAGAACTCAGCTGGTGTTTTAAAAGCTCCCTCCGTGTACCCAGGGTACCTCTGCTATGAGTCTCCTGGAAGGGACATAATGATGGTGGGGAAGCAGGGGTCCCCCAATTAGTCAGTATCCCCACACGCCCTGTGCAGGACTGCAGTGGCGCCCATACCACGCCTTCCGAAAATCGTACAAGGCAAATACTGCGCTACAAAATGACCTGCAGGTCCACGGTCCTCTGGAAGAACTGAGGTAGAAACAGAGAGCAGGACTCTAGGGACTTTCAGGCAAAGCTGGCTAAAGTGTCCTCCCCCGAGCTTGAGAACTCCCTGGGGTCTTCCCTTGTCTTTGGTGATTTCCTGGCTGCAGAGGCCTCACTGGGCAGCCCTCCTGCTCACTCCCCAGGGAGACACTGTGAGCCTTCCTACTTCTTCATCTTGAATAAGCCTCAAAAAGTCCTAGGTGTTGACTGCAAGCCGCCCTGCTTGGGGCTTCTCAGGAATGGTGACCTTGCATGGATGGTCAGTGCTTGTACAGGACAAGTGGGGGCTGGGAACTCCCATTGGGCGGGAGTTTCCCATGTCCTTTCTCACACAAACGTGGAGACTGCTAGACTCACAGGCGCTACTGAGGCCCACATTTCCCTAACTCTGGGCAGTTTTCTGTCAAGTCTATAAACAGTTGTTTCCATTCGTAAAGCTGCTTCGGAGAGGAAGGGCAGACACCCCAGAAGCAGACTCAAAATTATGTTGCTGTATTAGTCAGGGTTCTCTAGAGTAACAGAACATACACCCCCCACCCCCACACCCCCCCACACACAAACATACATATACACATATATGTATATACATATGAAGGGAATTTATTGGAATGACTTCAAAGCTGCAGTCCAGCTAATCCAACAGTTAACGGCTGCCCTTGAACATGAAGCCCAAGAATCCAGTAGTTGCTCAGTCCCATAAGACAGGATGTCTCAGCTGGTCTTCTGTATATGCTGGAATCCCAAAGAAGTAAGATCTAATAGCAGTGAAGGAATGAATGAAGGTGAGGGCAAGCAGGCAAAGAGCAAAAGCTTCCTTCTTCTATGTCCTTATATAGGCTTCCAGCAGAAGGTGTGGCCGGATTACAGGTGTCTTCCCATCTCAAAATCTGGATTAAAGATGTGTGTCTCCCAGAACTTGGGAGGCAGAGGCAGGTGGGTTTCTGTGAGTTGGAGAGCAGCCTGGTCTACAGAGCTAGTTCCAGCACAACCAGGGCTACACAAAGAAACACTGTCTTGAAAAACAATAACAAAAACAACAACAAAAAGATGTGTCTTCCTACCTAAAAGGTCCCAACTAGAAAAGGATTCACTCACCTCAAACCAAGAAAAAAAAAAATCTCTCCCAGGTGTGCCCTCCATCTCTGGACTGTAGTTCAAGATGTAGTCAAGCTGACAACCAATATCAACCATAGTCAGGATTGATCCTGGATGTTAACTTGACTACATCCGGAGCTATGGGTGGAGCATTTTGGTACTTGGGAGGATATAGCCTCTGTTCTTAGGGCTTTATGACCACCCTGCCCAGTGACCCACCACACTCTATACCTGACAAGGGCTTGGGCTTCAGCAGAGGGAGGTGGGTTGGGTCCAGGTGTCTTCAGGCATTTACTTGTGTCTGTGAGTATCCTGGTACCTGAGGAAATGTGACATTTAACTATCAAGTTGTGGGTACCATGGCAGGTGGAGAAAACAAAGTAAAAGGGAAGCATCGCTTCATTTTTCTTAGAACCAGAGTTTCTGCGTTTTTCTTTTGTACTTGGCCCCACAAATCACACAGCCGTCTCATTCATGTGATGCTGAATGCTTTAAAAGAACCCTTGAGCTCAAGGCAGTGGCACACTCCTTTAATCCCAGCACTTGTGAGGCAGAGGCAGGTGGATCTCTGTGAGTCTGAGGCCAGCCTGGTTTATACAGTGAGTTCTAGAACAACCCAGGCTACACAGAGAAACCCTGTTTTAAAAAATTGAAAGAGAGGCAAAACCTCTGGTTCTGGTATGGTGTAACCTAGTACCCAGGAGGCAGAAGCAGGGGGATAATGAGTTTGACTCATACAATGGTCCTGTTAAAAAAAAAAAAAAAAAAGGCTATATACACATGACCCATCCCCAGGTCCACAGCTCACATCTTGTGGGGACATCAGATTAGGATCAACAGACAGTGACTATGGGTTTTGAGGTCACCAGTGCCTTCCCAGATATTCTTAAGCTTGTCCTCAGTGGTCACGAGACAGGCAGACATGGCTGGCCCATACATTAAAGGAGCTGTTTAGACCCAAGTACCCTAGTCCCTCAGACCAGGGACTGTCCCTCCTGGTGTACCCGACTTTCTGGACAGGTAGAAGGGCAGTGGTTGCTAGAAGGGTGCTGGGCAAAGTAGCCGCCCAATCATTTCTCCAGAAAGGCTATCTCAAGGGCTTTCTCAGAAAGCCCATACAGAACAGAGGAGTCAAGAAACAGTGTGAAGGCCATGGATATGGCTGTTGGTAGAGTGCTTGCCTAGATGCACAAGGCTCTGATTCTGATCCCCAGAGCCCCATAAATTAGACATGGTGGTGCATCTCTGGGGGAAAAAAAGGCAATCTAGCCTTGGCCAGGCCCCACCAAGAGCTGAGATAGATACGTGGGAAGTAGCCACGGGCAGTGGCTATGTGCCAGGTAAATCAGCAAAAGAAACACCGTGGAGTTCATGGGATCTCCTGGTGGAGAAATCTGTTGAGTGATGAGCGATTGGGACATGCCTTGGTGAGCTTTGGTGGCCTGGAGGCCAATAAAAGAGCATCCACCCCACAGCTGAGCCTCAGTCTCCGGAGAGAGCAGAAGCTGGATGTGTGGGTTTGAGATGGTGTCCCCAGTGTTGGCGTATCCCACCACACCTCCTCCAGCCTAGAGTGAAGGCCCTGAGGGACGTACCCAGAGTCCCCCTCATCCACAGAGCCTGACTCCCCCAGCGTGAGCCCTCGGGCTTTTCATACTAGATCTTAGCGTGTGAAAAAAAAAAAAAAAAAAAAAAAAAGAATTCACATCCAGGAAACGTACTCATCACCAGGGTTCAAGCCCCATCCTCCATCTCTCCAAGCTGCACCTCTCGCTGTCAGACCACAACCTCCCCAGGTCACCTCGGCCACAATGGAGGAGTTTCTCCCTACGGGGAGAGCAGGGTAAGGCGACCGCCAAGAGGCCACTGTGTTCAGGAATCTGTACTCATAGGAACTTGGCTGGCAACGCAGAAGGTGGCTGTGCCTTTCTAGAAGGAAGCAAGAAACAGTGTAGATCCCACATGCTAAATGCCAAAGGCATCT